CCTGACTGTCTCAAGAAATAGCACAGAAAATTTAAGTCTTTATTTGGAACATCCTTCTTTCTGAGGGCTCTTACTAGAGTCCTACTACACATTTGGGATACTGGAACTTGGATATTCGGTAGTGATTCTAGGTTTGCTGATGACTTGATTTTTTGCAGAGCTAGAATATTGGAAAGGGATTGTGAAATGCACTGTGTCATCCAGGTTGCATCCATTGCTCTTTCTTACTAAACCTCTGTGAAAACTCCCAACATGTATTTGCCAGCAAAGCAGCCGGATTCTTTGAAGATCACAAGAAGCAGGGATTTCTTTTATAAGGTGCTTAACCCACATTTCAACCCTATTAAACAAGAGAAGAGAAACTGTTACTATCCTCTGATTCATTTTTTAATTTATTTTAAGGTAGCAACAGCAATGCTATCACTCCCTCCCCCCCAGCCCCAGTCATGTTATATTGACAAAGAGGAAGGAACGCGATGTTCATTTTCCTCAAGGGCATCTCTTAGACATGTAAGCTGACTTCCTTATTGATTGGTACTTGTCAATAAGTAATCAGAAGCCTAGGGATTGTCTCTCTCTCAGCCTGTAACAGATCATTTCCCCAGAGTACTCTACTTGCTGCAGGGGAACGGGGATTTAGTTGTTAGGTATTTATCTTCTTATTTAAACGTGTATTTTACTGCTGTGCTTTGGGGGAAATGCATTTTTGCTTTCTAAAATTCTCAAAGAGTGGCATTCAGAAAGGTTGAGTGTTTCACCATAAATAAGGTGTGTCTCAAAGAACTTTTGACAGATGATGGGAAAGATAAAGCTTGGGTTTTCAGGGAGGTTTTGAGAAAACAAGGTCAGTCCTTTTCAAAGAAAGCTTTTTTTTTTTTTTAAATACTTCAGGGAGTGTCAGGGATAAAAAATGATTTTGGGCTGGAGTAATTTAACAGCCAGAAAAAATAAATCCTTCTCAAGCTGATAAATGTTTAATACCTAACCAGAAGCCTCAAAATTCTTTTCCACCCCAGTGCTAGACTCTCCTGCACTGAATAATGACATCTTATTAAAAACTTGTTAATTGGTGTGACATTAAATGCAAGTTAGTCTAGGCCTCTTACACTTCAAGTTCTGCCTGTGTACTACCTTCAAGTTTTCACAACAACTCGTGTTACAAAACAATTTCAGTAACTCTTCTACACCGTATCTATTGAAAACAGGGTGATTATGAATGCTTGTATCATGAGCCTGTCCTCATATTCCTACAAAATACACAGCAGTGAGAAGTGATAATGCAAACTAACCTGCATCGAGACCCACTTGGTAGTATCGGAAGTGTAAAAATATAGGCATTTGGCAATAAGGACTCTTCTTAAGAGAGCTTAATTGAGAGAGAAGAAACGCATCTGAAATAAACTTTTCAGACGTGAAAAAGGCTGTATTAGCTACATTACGCTATTACTTATTCCTTCTCGTCTTAACCTGCTAAATGCAGTCAACCATTTATTTTAGTTTCTCATGAAGAGCCTTACTTTTGGACAGCAAGAGAGCATTTACATCAAGCAATGGAGTTAGCACTGGTCCAGCTGTTAAAAAACAGATGTAATCAAAAGCGGATCTTATTAATGGTCAAGAACCTCATTACACATGAATGCATCCTATCATTGATGCCAAGACCTTGGGGACTGACCTGCACCACTTAACGGAGGCATTTGTACAAATACTTTTAGCTGCTCTATCCTCACATGACTGTTTTAACGCTTTTAAGAAAATTACTCTGTAGCCTTTTGCAAAACAACATGGAGGAGGGAAAAAAAAAGAAACAAAAAGAAAAAAAAATCCTGCAGTGTACTGTTTTCCTTTCAGGGAAGGGAAGCATTTCACAAGCCTGGTAGTAGCCTAAACACTTTTACAGACTGGGTGAGGGGGTGGAGGTATGAAGTAGATACACACACTATTTCATCAGCCTTGCCGTCCTGATTTCAGAACAGTGCTCAGGAGATCACAGCAGGGTGTCCTATGTTGCTCTTTGCAGAAAGACTGAAGCCGCTGTCGTGAAGATTTTGAAGGCCAAAATGTCAACTACTTTTCCTTAAGTATCCCGAGACACAACCTTCAGCCTTCAAAAGGAAAGCAGGTGAGGTTTATTTTCCAGCCCATTGTACAGCCCCCCCCTTTGCTAAATTCAACTCTAAACGAACCTAACGCACTACAAGAACATGCTTCCAAGCCATGTAAAACATCCCATTGACAACACAAGGACTGATCCATTGAGGGGCACAACTCTCTTTCCACACTGAAAGGAAAAACAGCGTTCACTTCTGATTTTCCAACACGCTGATAATAGTTAAGAGGGGCTTACTTAGGCTTTCCTGAATTAAGTACATCACCTTTTACAGTTTACAGTTATGTACCTGGGTTCATTTTTATTTACACATAGCTGGTGATAAGATACATATTTTTTTCAATGTGAGTGTAAATGCTTTAAAGCAGGGAACAGACCCCGCAGGGTATCTGCAAGCAGTAACAAAACTCACAACCTATGTAATTCCCTTTGAAATACTGGTTTCTCCTTACATAGAGAAATGGCGTTCTGTCCTGTTATTTCAGTTACTGTGCTTCTTGTGCACTGGTGTGCGTTGAATTTATCATGGTAGTTAGAAAAGCCCTGCTCCAAAACCCTGTTTTTCCTTAAAAAACCCCAACCCTTTATTCGTAGTCCTCATAGTTGTGGTAACACCTTTGAAAATACGAACAAGACAGTGAAAAAAACTTCTGGCGACTTTAAAAACCTCTTGAAACAACAGCACTAAGAGGTATGAAATACCGCATACTTATGGGAGTGTTAATTCTTAACTCCTAAAGACAAGTTTGAGGGACATAAAGTAGGAAAAAAAATGAAACGTACCACCAAAACAAAAACATACAAGAGAGAAAGCGTCTTATGAGCCATCACAGTCATGGTTGCTATTCAAGACAAGTCGGAACTGTAAGCTCACTTGCTACTGACAGCTGCTATTCTAAATTTCCACGCTGATGCTGGCCACTCAGGTACCTCTCTTCTAATGGATAAATCAAATAACTTAGCAAAAGAGTTTTCAGATAATATTTTTCTGGTTTTTGAAAGTTCACCTGCACTGCAGGATCCCCCGGAATGCATTCAGTTTCTGCTAAAAGGCCAGCCACATGCACATTCCAAGCGGCATTTAAATCCCAGGTAGCAATCCACAGACTGCAGACAGCAAATAATGTGAAAAATGGGAACTATTTTGTTCTGCTTTATTGAAACCAGAGACATCCCCACATCAGAGGTATTTAAAACATTTATTAGCGTTAATCATTGTAGGTTAAATAAAACACAAAAACTACATTTTAGGGCAAAAAATATTATTAGGTATGATACAATTACTATGTAAAACAGAAGGTAAAGTATTAACAGATTGCAGCATCCCATACATGAAGCGAGTGGGTCCAGCCCAGTCAAAGCCCTTATATAAACAAAACAGAGGAAGAGTACTTAGCAGGTGATTTTAAACTTAAAATTTATCACTGACTCTGGTTTAAATAATTAAGGGTAGGATAGTAAAATATATCATCACTGTACTGAAAAGGTCAGAGTGCTTGCATCACTTTTAGATTGGGTATTAGGAAAAATTTCTTCATGGAAAGGATTGTCAAGCACTGGAACGGGCTGCCCAGGGAAGTGGTCGAGTCCCCATCCCTGGAGGTATTTAAAAGACAGGTAGACGAGGTGCTTAGAGACATGGTTTCGTGGTGGGATGGCAGTGTTAGGTTAGCGGTTGGACTTGATAATCTTAAAGGTCCTTCCCAACCTAAATGGTTCTCTGTATAATCTATCTAGTCACGCTTATTACCACATGCCATGAAGGATTAGTGAAGACAAGGGATGATACCTAACTTTTCTAGGTATTGATACAAAACCATGTTACATTGCAGCACTTTAGATAGACCTGCTGTACCATGAACAAAAATAATCAATTCTTTTATTTTCTTTTTTTTTTGGAGCATAACTTTATGACTCCTGAGTCCCAATTCTTGAATAGTAACGGCCTTTTTTAGATTTCTAAGTCTGAAAGACGGACTTTTTCTATAGTATGCCATTTTCATGCATAGGAATGGCAAGTCAACAATTGTACCTATGTGTATCTCCATCTTCTCGCTACCTTTGATCCGTAACTTTAGGTTCATAAAGGTGAAATGACCATTAACAAAAAAATGTACTTACAGAATACAATGTGCAGTATATGAGAACCAGACATAGTGAAAAAACACTACATGTCAGCATAACAATATAAAACTGTACTTATATACACACACATATGCAGAGCATATATGAAAACTAGTTCCTTCATAATCTTGGTTTAAGACTAGTTCATGACAAGCCAGAAAAGCAAGTCACCCACAACTGGACAGTCACAGTCTTGAGTCACGGTGCAAACAAGCTCCACCAAACATCCTTGGCACTGCAGCCTGTGCTTCGGTCCTGCCGCCAGCTCTCTTGAGAAAACCAATCTTGGACAAATCCAGCACCAGCTGGCCAACCCAGAACCGCAGCTTTATTATTGTTCTTCTTATTATTAGAGCAGATCAGCTACAGAGTCAGGTGCTCCTGTACAGTAATTTAACTTTTCATCAGCCATTAACTGATTAACATTAAAGCGGAATTCCAGTTGCTGCAGAAACTTTTGACTCCGAGTTTGGGGTTTTTTTGTTTGTCATTTTTCTGGCTGTTTATGAAGGGTGGTGGTACTTTCCAAGCAACACAGGCAAAAAAAGGAAGCAGAAATCATGAATTTTACACGTGAAAATCACAATTTTTAAAACAAACCATTCCCCCATTTGACGAAGCAGGTTAAAGCTGCACTTCAGCTTCGATGAACAGCAGAGAGGCGATATCATCATCAAAGGCAAGCACCGTCTTCAAAAAAACCCGCGAGCTGTTCCGCCAGCACAGTGGCCTGCTATTTTTTTGCCTATGACTTCAGAGTTCCTTACTGAAGCTACCATAACCCAAATCTCAAGAATTTATACAATCAGAATCCTTATTCATCTTTTTCTTGACTAAAAGCAGAATAAGGTGATTTAGATCTGGCCCACCAAATGCAAAAATATCTTTGAGCCTACTTAGCCAGCATTTGAATTTTAAAATCTGCCAGAGATCCATTGTAACAACTTCTAATTTAAAACTATTCTAACATACAACTCATGAACCTGTTCTGATTCACATACGGCTCAATGGCAGCTGTGAAAGCTGGTTGTTCAAGACAGTATCTATTCCATACAGATCAGCATCAATTGCCAGTTCTAGCATAAATTAGAGCATACAAGGTACTCGCAGAATTGTTTTGCAAAACTTTCAGACACCTCAAGTAGGGTTTGATGCGTTTTTAGATGTCACATTAAAAACAGAGAATTATGCCACAAAGAACTATGAAAGCTTAAAAGTCAGTTATGCATAACTACCATATGTTGAACTAAAATTTATGACACCTTTAAAAACATGGGTTCAATCTCACCTTGTTTTCTTGGTAACAGAACTAGCTTTTTACTGGGCTTTATTTAGGAAGAACCAGACCTCTTGCAGCATTGGCTCACAGATCCCATAAACTTATGAATCTGTGATGTTGGTAAGTTTGATATTTCTTTAGCGCTGAAGGCCAGGTTAACCTTTCCCTCCACAGCCAGCTGGAAAGAGCCAGGCACCCACAGCAGACTTGCTCGTGCTAGGATGGGATGAAATGTTCCCTAAAGGAGCCTGTCTCCCTCCGCAATTATCAACAATGATGATTGCTGAATTTTCACTTCAGGATTATCTGTAAACCAGTTGCTGCAATGAAGCAGCGACACGGATCGTGTATCAGCACGGGTGACAACTGAAAGCTTACTTGAAAGATCCTTTCTCATGGTAGCTGTCTGAGTCTGCGTATTATCCAAGGCCATATTTTCAAGTACGAGCACTTTCAAAGGAGTCTTAAAGATCTGAGAAATGGATGTGATGTGAAAAAACAACGCGGCTTAGATTCTTAGATAAAATCTGGTGGGACGTTTCCCACCTATAACTACTTCAAGTCCCCTGAAGACAGAGAAATGTTCCTCTTGATTTCATCTGGCTCTGTCTCAAGCCCTAATAATCAGTGCCATTTTATCAAAGCAACCTCACAACCAAGCAGTAAGGTCTGTTTTTTATGTATAAACACGGAAGCCCAACTCTAGCCTGCCTGTTCACGATTTATTGGGCAAAGTTATTTTCCCCTTTTGTTTGCTTTTTCATAAGTCCCCCAACAAATGTGCTGTGAGGGTAATTTTCCTCATAAAAGAACAAATGAATGTTTTGGGATGCAGGCTGGGCTTTAGTTTTGAAGCCTGCATTCTTACCCTAGTTCCTAGATGAAGATAAATTCGTATTTTATCATTTCAGTCACACACATTCATAAAAGATGGAAGTGGAGAACGCATACAGTTTTACATTTAGTTCATAACCACCTAATGTATTTTTTTTCTTCTACGCTGCATTTTCAAGTGCATCAAGCTTCAAAAGTATTGTGCTGTGGGTCTTCCATACTGCATCCCCAAGTGGGTGAGGAGACCACTCCACAAATTCACAGAATTGCATTTGTAAAGAAACACTCTGGTTTGTTTTGTTAGATTCCAGCCTTTAACCCCAAATTATATTGTGCTCTCTTACGCTGTTTTTCTACAGAAATAGCATTTTTCCAACTTGAAGTCTTCTTGGAGCACCGCAGCGAGACCACGAAGGAGCGGGGCAGTGTGGCACTGTCTTTTGGAAAGCAGGGAAGTGGCATCTCTGAGAGCAGAGACAACTATGGTCTGGGGCACAGATTTGGAGGAAACTTGGTAAGTAGTGGCAATTAAGCTGGCATTTATGTTCTTTTTACAGTTTCAGTAATTAACGAAGCCTATGCCCTGGAAAGGGAATCAATCCAGGCAAAGCACAGTGGCTGCGTCTTCACTTCTTTCCAGAGCAGACTGGGAACTGCGTGGAGTCCAGCAGTCTCCTTCATGACAACTCCTTCTTTCACATACACAGGACCTCCTGACACAGATTTTGACTTCTAGCCTGTAAAAATTGCACTCGCTCATCCTTTGGATCCATTTTTTTTTTCTAGTTAGCAAACTCAGTCCATTATTTGCTGATGTTTACTGAAAGCATGAGATGAAGCTACAGATGTAGGAAAATACAAAAGCAGAGTCCAGCTAGAAAGATGGCAGACAAACTGTAAGCCAAAATTCAGGGATTTATGGCAGTTTTTTTACCCTATCATTACAGAGAAAACTCTAAAGACATGCCACGTCCACTTTGCAATTTAAGAAGTTTTTGCAGCAAATCTAAGATTTATATATAAAAGGATCTTTTTATTAAAAAACCCCCAAAACAGTCATTGGCTTAAACAGAGAATCGGAGCGCTTTGACATTGTAATTTTGACAGGATATTAGAGAGGATTTTCCAACTTGGTTTTGCAAAATCCCTTTGAAGTAAAGCTCTCTGCTTCTGGTCCTTGCATTATTGCTCATGGGAAGTAATGAAATGACTGCTTTCAAGATAAGGAGCCACGTCACTGAGATCATGAAGTCCTTTCTCAGCGAGAAAAGCAAATGGTGCTGTTTTTCAAGTAAATCTAAAAAGATCAAGTTGGGTCAGCAGCACCGCCTACCCGTCTGTGAAGTCTGCTTTCCAAGTTTGATTGCTCCATTGTTACCATTTTCATGAGGATCTAGGGGTGGAATTTGCCGACCTGAAACACACGAGACAACAGTGAATTCAATTTTCTTGATGTAGTAACAACACATGCAGATAACAGGACGATTTAGCTTGCATAAGAATTACATCTCTGAAACTTCACCAGAAAGCAACCGCCTTCTGTGTACCTTAAATCTTTTTCCTTGCACCCTGCTTATGCAAGAAGATTTTCACATTTTAAAAATATATGAAATGTGGCTATTGAGAATGCAAGAAGTACACTGAAATTACGTTATCCGTGTATTTAAAAAAACAGTTATCTCACTGAGCACCTTACAACTAAGAAAGAAAAAAATTCTCAGCTTTTTCCTAATTCCACTTAAATGTGAATGGTGCTAGTTTAACAAGATCTTGCCTGTCCTAAATCTGCATGGCATTTAGTCCTTGTACACTAGTTTTACAAAGCACTGTAACTAAACACATGGTGCCTATACTTGAAAAAGGAAAAAAAACCCCACCCTGTTCTTTTCATTGAATCCCTCCCTCCTTTGAGGGGTAGCCACATCTTTCCAGTTGACAGCTTTGATTACCTACCACCCCCACCCCCAAACTCTACTGATTTTTTAATCATCTTATGGGGTGATTATTTTAAGTGTTTGAAAATATTTCAGCCATCACAGGAGAGCTGGAGATCTCTCCCAGGGGCAGAAGGCACTGCTCCAACTCCCTCCCCCATGTGCCCTTTTAGTCCTGCTGTATCTTTTGTCTAACTGGCTTCCTACTCATGGACAACACACAATGTGCTTAATAATTAGAATTATAAAAGGAAAAACAAGATCCTCCCAGGTCCAATCTATCCTCTGTCTCTAGTGTGGGCCTGTTTTTTCCATTAAACCCATTGAGTGATCTCTCAGATCAGTATCTTGCAGAGCTTACAGTCCTGGTAACATACTTTCTCATTACCTTGTGGATTTGCTGAAAATTTTTTTCTGAAGTTGAATCTACTTTCTATGAAGTACTCCTGGTTTTACTATTACCCATGTTAAATAACAAGAGTTAAAATATTTAACATTTGTTTGCTGTATGCCACTTTCAGAGAGCATAAAGTTCCTGTGAACAGCTCATCATAATCCAGGTGGATTTTACAGTTCAGATTTCCCCATCCTTTTCTGCATTTATTCACAGCTCTCTCTTGCCAAATGTTCTATGAATTATGTACCTATGTTGAAGCCTAAGTCCTACGCATTACTTGGGGTGGTGGTGGCGGGAATTGTAGGAGGGTGAGTTAAAAGCATTTAGGTAAAATCCAATCTCCATGAAATCAAATGGCAAAATTTTATATGTAAAACTTGTTCCTAAATTACCTTTGACCAAGCCCATCAAAATTTCACCTCTTATTCAGTCAGTTCTGAACAGGTATGTTATACAACAGAAGTGTGTCTTTTGAAGCAGATAATCTTGGGTGTTTGTACAACTGAATGAGAGAGGAAAAATTCCTCACATTACTAAGCTCAAGATACTGTGTTTGGTCTAACAGAGGGAGAAACAGGTATGTTGCCGGCTGGAAGCACTTACAGGCACTGACATTACAACGCTGCGCTCTATTTAGGTCACTAAAATATCATCTTCCCACTCTCCTTACATTATGTTTGGACTTCATGTTTGTAAATGCCCTTCCAAAGTAAAATAAAAAGCAGGATGGGCAGTTGTTACATGCATTAGTTCTGTTGCCTTTGGTTGGAGATAAAGAGAATCCACTAATTCTTAAAACTCTAGAGAATGTGAAGAACGTAGTTATCTGTGAGAGGTTTTCCAAGAAGGTAACACTGTCATCGTAGAGACCTGAAGAGAACATCTACATTAGGTACCTATTATTTCCAAAGTGCTTTCAACTCAGTCCCAGCTAAAATAAAACCCTGTCGATCTGACTCAGAGCACAATGTAGCTAAAAAAGTTGGAATCTACAGACGTGGTTTCCATTACGTACCATTAAGCAAAAGTACTCGCTAAACATTTGGTTCTTCTAACAGTGAGTTTGGAAGAGGAGAGCTTGTAAACCAGCTTAACTTTCATTTTAGAAGTCCATGTTAAACAAGTATGTCACCTCTGTTTTTCGTTCAGTGTTTCATACTTCTTGGGAGGTTTCAGGTCTTTCCTACGGTACTCTGGAGGCGTACGCAGAGAAGCAGGCAAGCTTATCTTTGGTGCAAAAATGTAGCAGGCCTCAAGGTCAGCGAGCACTTTGTCCAGTTCAGACCAGGACACAATATATGTTGTTAAGAATCACCTTGATTGATTTCATTTCTCAAAATGATAAAAACCATGCAGATAACAACTACAAATAATAAAGAGGAAAAAAATCTCTAGATATAATATTTGCTGAGTAGTTATTCTGGCCTTTGAACTTAAGTACTGTTTGCCACTAACTAGCCATGTTTTCTGCTGTTTGAATACTCCCCCTGCCTTGAATTCAATGCAAGGAAATAAAGGTTTAAGCAGTCTAAAAGCTTTTCAAGGTTGAGAATATTTTTTTTAGTAGGTGGTTTTCTCTCACTTATTATTTCTCTTATTACCAAATTTATTAAACCATCAAGTTAAACCATTTTAGTTTTAGTAACAGGACTTATCCCTGCCCAAGCACCTTTTACCATCCAAAGCACAGTTGACCGCAGTAACTTTCTTGGATAGTAAAACTCAGTTTAGCACCTGAGAACCAGCTCCACAGCAAATGATACAGTGATTTTTCACCCAGGGCTAGGGGGAGTGGATAAAAATAATCAGCCAGAAATCTGTTTGACCGATTGCTTCTTCCCTGGGCCCCCTTGACAGCTAGTCTCACAGCAGACGCCGTCACAGGGAAAGGTTTAAGCCACAGGAGAACACTAGGGGTGAGCAGCAAAAAGCTGAGCCTGCATCTGCGCTTCCTGCTTCTAAACCAGCTCAATCACTACTGCTACCTAAAAGCACCGTGATCATTGCATCTTGTCGTTCAGCTCTTGAAAAACGTGGTATCAATATTGCTGACACCAACTCAAATATAGCTGGCACCGAGTCAGGATCAACAGAGGGCATAAACTGAATTAATTTTAGAAAGTATACGCTCATTTAAAATGTATATATCATCGGCATACAGAGCCTCTGTTCCAGAGCAATAAAAAATACCCCTGTATTAAATAACCTACACCATGGTTAATCTGTGCTATTTCTTTCATGCAGCTGACGTCAGAAAGGAGCAAGCAGTGCCCTGACAACCAGCCCAGCACTTCTCCTGCTAAAGAAATAAACACATTAAGACAATTCCTCTTCAAGCCGATGACTGCTCTGTCAAGATAGCGTCAGCTCAAAAGGTCCATGAGAGACTGAAATCTGCTGTTGCTTAACTTAAAGATGACAAATGGAGTCTTTTCTCCATTTTGCAGAGCAGGACACAACTAGCCAGCTTGCCAAAGACCACCAACAGCACATCTTCGGATTCCAGATGAAACGGTCAATTGCACAGAGACAATCAGATGCGCATACATTTATCTACAAACTCTGCAGCTGAACTGGGTGAAATGAGGAACTTAGGGAAATACTATTAATGAGACAGTATAAAGGTTCCATATGGTTCCCATTGCTGATATTCCTGTGGAGTAAGGTCTGCTGACTGCAATTTGAAAGTTAGATTTTGCACTTGTATTAATTAAATAGCTGGTTCCGTATTTTGGTTTCATTTCACTAATGTTTAGGCCACGTTTTACAGATTTTGTGCAACAAAACTGTTTGCAAATGTGCACCTCTACACATTCGTGCAGAGGCCTTGGTGTCCTCCATGATCTCATTCCAGTAAACACACCATGGTGTTTAAAATAATAAGCATCAGAAAAGACTGCTCAAGTATAGGGTTACAGAAATTATCATGGTTCTGAAGTGAACCATCCAGGTTAACAGGTGGGCAGCACTAAATCAATTGCATCTCCTCCTTTCTGCTGTGTTTGAGTTGGGCTGAGACAGTCCAGAATGAAGGTCAGAGTCTTCTGCAATGCCTGGTAGAGTTCCAATTCCTGCTATTGAATCTGCAACTTGTTAATGTAAAGAGATTAATCAACACTCTGGGAGTTGCAGTTCTGAGAGTCCCAGAGGCAAAGAGATTGGGAAATAGGAGGCTGGGACAAGACATAAACAAAATGGGAAGGGAGAAGAATGAAAACTAGAGCAGGGAAGCAAAAGAGACAACAGGGACTGGGTGACGGCTCTGCAAGCAGAACTTGAAGGCAAGCAGATGGGGATTGATCTGCTGCAGCTGGAAGCAGGGTGCATCATCAACAGTAATAAAATCTGCTCTCTTTGTTCCTTTTTGAATGTGATGCTCCCATTATAAGCTGTGACATCCATTAGCTCAGAAAAATCAGGCTTGGAGTTGGGCTTTTTGATTTTGTTTGGTTTTTTAACATTGAAGTAGTTTCATTACTGACCTGTACAAGACTGCATGAAAGGTTGGAAACAGCCTTAAAAGTTGACTGTAAAGAAAAAAACCCAACTGGTTACCATGCCGTCAAAGGGACAAACACAACAGAGCACTGAACAGATGCTCATTCGGTGCGTAGCAGAAAGGAAAACAGATGTGACGTGATCAACCTGAGCTGGCACATCCAGATGATGAAGTCCAAGTCCAAAAGAAGCACAGACCTAATATCTAACATGACTACAGCAATTCTGCTAAGCATAAGAGGCAAGGCATCACAGTCCTGCAATGTGCCTTTCTACACGTGTCCCATCCCATTCTCTGTCTGAAAATCGCGTGCAACTTGATTTTTTTTTTTTTCTAGGGGACTGAAGGAAGGGGACCTTTTTGTTAGTGCAGGATGTGAAATTCATTTCTCTTGGCTCCAGAGCAGCATCCTGAGGATGTGAAAGCTGTGGCTCACCTGAGAAAAGGCAGACTTCTTCAAATAGCGGTACAACAGCTGTACAACGGCCAGAATGTCCTCCTCAAATTGCTGTCCGCATCACAGCAAGGTGAGCCCCTTATCTCTCCAAATTCTTTCATCCTTTGAAACCAGTTTCACTAGTATT